TTTTCCTTATCATATTTTGCTTTTCTTATAATCCCTTTGCTTTTGGGGGTTCAATCAGTGCCTTTTGACCCACAGGACTCATCAGAAATGTGCTTTCCCCTCTGCACACAGGGCACCGCTTGTCTCCAAGCAGGATGGAGATTTCCTCAACCCCTCAGGCTTCATCTCAGTGCACTCCGGAGTTCTGCCTCCAGATGTGGCTGCTCTTTCTCCTTCCCCTCTTATTCCAGATCATGTGTGCCCTCACGCCCCAGTCAGCTGTCACTCCTCCTGACAAAAATGATCTGTTTAATTTTGGGGGAAATGGTTTTATTACCCTTTAACCCAGCCCTGCTTTTGTGGCTGGCTGTTCCCCTTTCTGCACACTTCTATGTATAATGCTACATTTTTTATTCCCCACCCCCGACCCTTACACCTTATATGGGTGCACTCAGCCCTAGCCATCCCCTCACTTTGAAGCTGATCCATTTTGCTGACCTGCTGTTTCTGTCTGTCCCTGTCAGCTCTCCATCCACCTTTGCTACTCTGGAGATCTGGAGCCTATCTCAGTCCCTTGTCTCAGCATAAGCTTCCCCAGATTTTAATTAAAAAGCATAAACTGAGCCAGGTTCCTAGTTCATCAGGACAATATTATTTTGGATGGACAAGCTTTCTACTAACAGTCTAAAGCCAAGTCCTTTCTCCTTTCACAGTTCTTGTGACATTGTGCTGTGACAAATGGGATGGGTAAGTGAAGCTGGTTACCATAATTTTATGCAAATTCTGTAGAAATGGGTTAAGGGTGGGATGACTGGTTGGGAAATGCTCTGGGACAAGGAAGAACATTAAGGAGGAGGTTCCCAGCTCCAGAAGAGCTGGGACTTCAATTTCATCATCTCTCAGACTGCTGCTCCACCAGGGCTCTCCGATCACTAGCAGCAATGTGTGCTAAGGCCAAGAAAGGAGGTGGCATGTGTTTCTCTCTGATTTCTGCCAGGATTTCCTAGCCTGTAGGTAATCCTGATGCAGTGCCAGATTCAAAGCCTGGCTCTCTGGGTAGCTGCCCAGATTCTCTGGGCAGCTGGGTGGGGTCCTTCTCTTGAAAGCAAACCTGCCTCTATGAAGGGCATCCCAAAGTGAATCCATGAGCCACCTGGTGGTCTTCAGCTTCACCAAATCAAGGACTTCTGGACTTGGGATTGGAGAGGAAAGGTAGCTGGCTGGAGTTACAGCAAGGCCAGTGGATGGCTGTAGGCAACTGTCCATCAGTTTACCGTGAGGACAGGTGGCAAGAGGGGGAGATCACAAGCTGTCCCTGCAGGATAGAAGATACCTGAGCTGTGACGACAACTCAGACACCTCTGCAACTCCAAAGTACTTGAAAAAATTATTCACACCCTTGGGAGAAGAGAGGTCCCCCCCTAGATGTGCCAGTGCAGAGGGCTGCTCGTGGCAAGGTGTTGCTTTCCACCATGCCATGGGCACACAGGAGGTCAGCAGGGCAGGTTCCCTGTGGTAATTCCAGCCACTAAAATGTAATTGCAACTTTTATCATCAAATAATGTGACATCACTGAAAAGAGGGTTGTGTAGAAGGGAGTGGTTCCCCCCTGTTGTGACAAGGTGAGGGTCTGCACCTTGAAGAATTATTCCAGATCACTGGGGAGGAAAACCTGAATTCTGGACAGGAACATGCTGAGAGTATTGTAGAGTAGCTTACCAGCATGCCTGGCACTTGTGATAAATGCCCCCTCCAGCTGACCCAGCTATGAATGGGTCCTTGCTCACACAGGATTTTTGCTAGCATCTTCAGCTCCCCAGCCTCTTTGCTATTGTGCATGCTTTAAAAACAAATGCACACATACAAAAAAAAAAAAAAAAAAAAAAAAGAGAGAGAGGGAGAATGCAGCATTCCCAGCAGTCTGCTAGTTAGGCTCTGGCAGATGCTCAACCAAATGTTGTATTTTGGCATGGTGGGATCCCTTCTTTTTTGAATCCATCCTATTGGACTCATGTCAGAATACGCTGACAGCGTATATTGCACATAATGCTGTGGCAGATCTTTGGCTGGTGGCACCATATGGGCCATGTGGGGAGAGGTCAGGACAGGCTCTGGCAGGGGCAGAGCAAGGGGACTCGCTAATGGCAATGGGGAGAAGCAACCTGGGGTGAAGAGGATTTCATTGCTTCCACCATAAACCCTGCTGGGATGGCAGGGGAGACTGGTCCATGCTAGGACTTGCTGGAGAGCCTCCCAGGCATCTCCGCAGCCACTTTGGCTTTTTTTTTCCCTAGTCCCCAGGCTGTCTGCCTGCTGGAGGAAAGCCATCCATCACGGCTGTTATGCTCTACCCACTAGCTATCTAGATTTAGCTTGTGAGTGCATAATTTATGGTCAGTTGGTTCATCTCTGCTCTTCATCAACGCACAGCACTTTGCGGACTTTCCTTCGAGGAGAAAAACTCCAGGTACTGAAGTTGTCCAGGAGCAGTGAAAGCCCCACCTCCAAAGCACACAGGGCTGGTACCGATCCAAGGAGGCTCACAGGGGCTGAGAGGCGCTGGCAAGGCTTTGTGGTGGAGCTCCAGGGCTGGAAGCAAAGAGCCTTACACCCTCCTGTGAGGTCCCTGGATCAGGAAGCTGTTCTGCTGAGGCTTGTTTTGCTTTCTTCCCTCTGCACACAGGATAAAGCGGGCAGAAAGTGTGAAGCTGTTATTAGAGGCAGCGCTCCAAGCAGTCGAGAAAAATCTCAGGGAGGAGCATGAGTCATGTGCCCCAAACTAAATTTACCTTAAAAACTGGTATTGTTATACACAACCTCATAATGACTTTATTTCTGTTATGATTGTTGCTGTTGTTCTGGTTATTACCTTTCTCACTTAAAAACAAAACAAAAAAACCTACCCAACCCTGTAGCTACAACCACAGAAATATTATTTGCTTGTATTATTCTTTAGGTGGTTCCTGTGCTGCAGGCAGTAAGTAGTTACAATCACTCAGACTATAATAGAGAAATTCATTCCAATAATAATAATAATGACATCTATTATTTTTGAAATACAAATCTGATGAGTTCATGAATATAGAAAGCTCTGGGTGCTGGCTGGCTGTAACATGGCAATAAAGCAAGCGTGATTTCCTGATAGATGCCTGCCGCAGGCTCCCAGCACACTCCCTCCAACTGCAGCACCCATCCCTGCTCAGCACCCAGCTGCTGGTCCTGCCGTGTGGTGGGAGACACCCTCCAGCAGCGGGGTCCTGCCTGTCCACTGGCGGGCTGCAGGCTTCATACCCAAAAAAAACCTGGGAGGGTGATGTAGTGATGCAGGTGTTCTCTTGGAGGCACAGCAATCACTTGTTCTGTCGTTTTCCAGCATTTCTGGGGGCTGGGAGCACTGTGGGTGCAGCAAAGCCATGCTTGCAGCAGTGGGATGTGGGTGGGTTGTCTCTGGACTGCCCTGTTTGGGGGTTTTGTGAGGGCTTTGCCCTGCAGGGCCTGAGGGATTGTACAGGCTCTGGGCAGAGGTAACAGAGCTGTTCCTAATGGGAGGGGATTTTTAGATTTTATTTATTTTTTTTTTTGCCATGTGAGGCCCATGAGGTCTAATGGTGTTTGCTTTCCACACACCAGCACAAAAAGCTTCTGTGATGCAAAGGCAGACGTGCGAGCTCCCAGCCAAACTGTTCCTCTCTACACAGTTCTGACAGCTGACTCTTTGGTTTCCAAATCCTTGGGTTTCAAAAAGGCTGTCCAGTGCAGAAAAAAAAAATAAATTAATTAATAAACACCTAAAATGGTATCAGCACTTTGGGGAACTAACTGATGATGTACTAACTACTATCATGAAGGCTGACTACATTAAAGCGGAGGAAGGCTATAATAATGCACAGGTGTTTGCAGGGCGTGATGCTATCAGGAGCTGGGGAGCTGCAAAAAGCTTAAAGGTGAAATTAGGCAAAGGAAAGCAAACACCCTGCTGCAGATAGGGTGGCCGGCTTTTTAGTTGTTACTCGGGTTTTATCTCTGAAGCTGTATGGACATTGCAGGTGTTAGGGAAATGAGCATGGAAACATTTAAGCACAAATATATTGCTTTACAATTGCTTGTAATTTGGCACAATTCAGCTCCTTGCATTCCTTTCTCCGGTAGTGTTTCCTCCATGTGTTAGTCCCTGTGGCACGGCTGCCTGCTTGCCCTTGGGGTGGAGCACAAGTGATTTTGTAGGATTAGTTGGCAAGGTTGTTCAGGACAAAGAGAAATCCCCACAAGATCTCTGCTGTGGACCTGATGAAGGTTTGGGTGGGCTCCAGAGCAGAGAGCTGGGCTGTTCAGGGAGCTGGGGCCTCTGGCTTTGGGGTCTTCTTCAGCTGCAGGCTGCTTGTGTGACACTGGGGTGTGATGTTTGCCTCTCTTGGACCTACCACCAACCCGCTGGGAATGCAAAAGAACCTGGGCCAGCTTCTGCCTGCGGATCCTCATTTTTCTGAGCTGTCCATGGAGCAAAGCAAACACTGGGCTCCTCTAGAGGGCAGGGCAGAGCAGCACCAGGATTTTGGCCTTGGCCTGTATTTAATGGTTGTTTTGGTTTTTTTTTTTGTGCTCCTGTGCTGGGTTGGTGGGATGCAGGTGGGACCATCACAGCGGTGCCTGGCCTGTGATGCCCCAAGCAGGAGAACAGAGCATTGTCCCAGAGAGATGCTGGCACCCATGTGGGGGCCCCAGAAAGGGTGCAAAGATGTTTGACTCTGTTTGACGTATTGCTAACTGATAGATAGGATGGGGCTAATCAAGCAGATTTGGGGGGCAACGATGCTTTTTTTAGGAGACCAGAGCCCAGCCAAATGCTGGGGTTCATCAACAGAGCTGCAGGTGACAAGCAGAAGTACCCCCGAGGACAAAGTCTGACATTCCTCCCTTGAAGTGCTTCCTCAAGCTCTCCAACCAAGCTGAAATGTGATCCCTCTTGATGCTTTCCTCCTTGTGCTGCAGGAGGAGCCTGTGCCTTTGGCATCTGGTAGGTGCTAACACCTGCAGGGGGTTGGACCAGGCAGCCTCCAGAAGTAACTTCTGCCCTCACCTGTTCTGTGGCTCAGTCTCTATCATTTCTTATCATTTCACTGGTGGTCGCTGCTCCCCCAGGCTATAATTTTACACTTCCCCCAGAAAATTCACCTCCTAATGCTGGCTCAAGGGGCTGGTGGCACCTGGAGGTGATGGGGCAGCCAGGATGGGAAGGGGATGCTTTCCCACTATCTGGAAGGTACAAGATGAGCTGAGACTTGTCCAAACAGATGGCATCTGTTCCTGTGCATGCCCTGGTGTTTACGGATCAGTGCACCCTGTGTGCTCGGCAGGCACCGTGTTGAAAAGGGGTAGATGGATGGAAGCCTCCACCCCCAGAAGATCTTGTGGCTGATCATTGTGTGCCATGCTATTTTCCAGCGGGACACATTGTGAAAAGATGGACCCAAGCAAGTGTTTGCCAAAGGAGAGGGTTTCTGGGGAAAGCCGAGGTGTGTCGGGGCACGGGGGCTCCTCCGACGTCACTCCCAAGGGACTTCTTTGTAATGTGAGCCCCGGCCGTGTTTTCGCCCTGGGCGCTATCTGCTGATTAAGCCCTGGGTATCTCGCTACCTTTCCGTGGGACTGTTTGCTCTGCCTGGCCGCAGCAGCATTAATGCTTCCACATCCTCCGTCAGCAGCCTGCAGCAGGAAGGGAACACGCGGGAGCGCAAACAGAGCTGGGGGCAGACCCAGGGCCCTTTGCACCCTGGTGAGAAGCAAATGGGCACACCCTGCCCTCTTCCACGGTGAAGTTTTCGAAGGCAGGCAGGCTTTTTGCTGCCATGAAGGGTGGACGGGATTAGCTGAGCGCTTCTTGGTGGTTTGTTAACACTGAGTTATCACTACGATGATGGAGAAAGATGTTTTTCTGTGTGGTGAGTGAGTGTTTTTCTCAAGCTTGAGTGCTTCAATGCCAGTGCTCATCTTTGCAGGGGAAAGCCCTTGGGCCACTCATCCCAAATCCTGCACCATGTGCAAGGCTGACAGCCTCCTTCGGGTGGAGGGAGCTTCCAGCCCTGCTACTACATCTGCCATGGGTCTATAGCCTCACCAAAAGGAGAAAAGGCAGAAGGAGGGATACTGCAAAGAGCCTGCTGGCTGGGCATCCACATCCCAGAGGGGGCTCTGGCTTCCTTGAGAGGGCCAGCACAGGTCAGGGTTGCAGGAGGGATGTCCCAGAGGTTTCTCTGTTGGCTTTATGGCTCCATCTCTCTTGGAAATCCTGCCGACCCAGCACAGGACAGCCACTGAGAGCCAAGATGCTGTTGGTCTCCTCCCAAAGGGCTTTCTGACGTCTCTGATGAAATTCGGTAAACACAGCCACACTCACAGTGCAAATGAGCTGCGTGCATTTAAAAGCAATGAATTAAGCAATATCAAACTCCACAGCCTTTTTGCTCAGGTTTAAAGTGACCATGGCTTGGCTGACCCTCCATGTTTCCACCATAAATTAACCTGCAGTGAGGTCCAGCCCTGTGGGTGCTGGGTGTTATTCTGCTGCTAAAGTGCTGCTTGGATTAAATAAATCCAGCCTGTGCTGGCCCAGAGTTCAGGATGTGGGGTGTTTTTTTGGGGACGTGTTTGCGTGTGAGGCCCTGCTGAATGCTTCCAAGCAAAGCAGCAGCATCCTATGCCATTTGGGGAAAACTCTTCTTTGCTACAGGGCAAAGACCTACACAATGGTGTAAAATATATCCAGATCAGCCCTAATGGAGGATAAAGAGAAAAAGCTAAATATTTTGCAAGCAGTCTCCTTTCCAGGTGATAGGGAATAAAACAGCACCCCAAAAGGTGCAATCAGTCTGTTTTTGTGCCTGCTTGGCTCCATCCCCCATCTCCGGGACCCTTCCAGAGCATTTGGGCTGCTTCACCCTGCCTGCTCCTGCATGCCTGCACCTCTGAAAACACAGCCCAGCTCCTGCCTCAGCGTTATCTCAGTGCACCAAGAATGCAAACACCAGAGCTGGTAGAGTGCAAGCAATGAGGCTGCTCCAAGCCCTGGCAGGAGAGAAGACAGTGCAGAGGCAGCGCGGCTCCTCCGGCACAGGCAAAGGGCTCTCCACTGGCCGTGGATGCCTTCCAGCCTGCTTCAGCTTGGCTTTGCTTCCTTGAGGATTGCATGCTCTGCCATTTCTCTGCCATTTTTTTTCCAGGCAAGAGGTGAGTTTTGCTTTATCTATAAAAACGTTGACTTGGGGAACTGGAACGTGAGTGAAAAGTGGTGCGGGAAGAAGCCTTTTTGCTTGCGTGCATTGCTGGAGGTAGGGATGGCTGCATTAATCAGTCTGCAGTCAATACAGCATATTCTTCTATAGAGTTTCTGTTTGATAGAGGTTTCCAGATGTGCCTGGTGCTAAAGCTGAAAGGAAGCTGGCTTTGAAGTGTGCACACATGCACTGACTTGATCACAGCTGCAATTTACTCGAGCACCTTCTGCAAAGACATTCAGTAAACCCATGCAAGCTCAAACGCTGCCATGGGTGCAGTCAGTGTTGGGATTATTCCCCAACAGGAGGAATAAGGACAGTCACCCTGTCAGATGGGTGCAGACCCGAACACAAATCCCGTTGTTCTGGGAGGAAAGCCCCTAAATCCCACTGCACCTCCCTCCTGCATGTGTCCCACAGGCACCCCCGAGGAATGACCGTGCAGCACACGGCGTTCCCAGTAATCTCTCGTAGGCTCCCACCCGTCTTCATCCCGCACTTGAAATACTGCAATTGCCTGGAGAAAAGAAATATCTTTACAAGAAGGGCCATCACGCCAGCGTGCCGTCTGCTGCAGCCAAAAAAGCAGCCCACTCAGCAGGGTAATCTATTCAATGGCTGGGATTTATTTTTAACGCTCGGCTCTGCAGTCCTTTTAACTCGAGCAGAGAAGTGAACATTTTGATAACAGCAGCCTCCAGGTCAAATGTGATGAGAATTCGTAACTCGCCACAGAGTGGGTTTTGGAAAACCAACCAAGCAAAACAATTTCCCAGAATGAGACGATGAAGATTTGCGTTTCTCTGCACAATGTTGTACACGGAGCTGATATCTGTTGGAGTGTCTGCTTATTCTCCCTCCACAATTTGCAAATAAAATGCCTTCTGGACTATTTTAAATTTGAACAGCTATTGCAACCACGGCTCTGCCAAGCTCCTCATAAAGACTCGAGACATCGGATCTTGAGGCCATCGAAGAAGAAATATTAATCCTGTAATGGGAATGTTCGGATGGTCCCGTTTCTAATCAAAGCCAAAGCCTGGGTTTTCTGCTTCAGGCAAGGAGTCTGGCATCAAGATTTTAGAAAATGCAAGGAACAGGAGGGAGCTCCAGCTCCTGGGATGCATGGGAGCAACACAGAATTAGCAGCAGGGATGGCGTAGGTCAGAACAGGGATATGCAGGGGGAAAAAAAAGCCTGAAAATCTGCCCAAGCTGAGCTTTGTGAAGGAGCTGCTAGGAGGCAAATTTTTATTTATTTATTTATTTATTTTTTCCCAAATAACTGGAAATATGTCAGAGCAGGTCTGAGAGGAAGGAGAGGAATGTGGAAGGAAATTTGGTGTTGCAGCATTATTGGCTTTATCAGTGGGTTCCAGAACATGTTTCCAAAACTGTTTTCTCTCCATTCCCTCTCTGTAGGGAGGCCCTGGAGGCAGGGGCTGGGCTCCTCTGCACAGTGCTGGTGCAAGGAGACAAAGTGGGGTGGGGGGGGAAGAAAATAAAAAACAATGATTAAAGCCAATAAAAAGCAGCATCCCCTTTCCTGCAGGCTGCAAACTTTGCTGGCCTTGTCCAGATTGTCCCCACGGCCCTGCTGGTGGCTGCAGCACCTTCCTGCTCCCCCCTTATGCTTTTCCCCATTGCTGTTGCAGGAGCCCGGGGCATAGTGAAAAAACTGTGTTGGCAATGGAAAACAGCAACATTTGCTATGCAGCATGGAAAGCTGTGCTGATGGGAACAGTCATTGCTTTAATATTTAATTTGATGAGATCTAGCTCTGAGAAATGGAGCAGGAGCTGCCACAGCTTCAAGCTCAGCGCTTCCAGGGGAATTTCCATGGGGTTCGCTACACTGCGGACTTATCTATATTCTGGCTGGGTGACATGGTAATGCATCTCATTAGCTAACCGAGCACACAGAGCTGCGTTTCCTCCCGTTCCCTTTAATTAATCAGGCTTTCAATGCATTCAGGGGTCGCTCGGACACTGGTTTGTCATTCAAAGCATCTCCCTTCCACCGGACCCTGGCTCCTGGGAGCTGCTTGGTCTTTGCAGAGCAAATGTGGCTGCTCACGTGCAACCTGGTGGCATCTCAGGAGGGAATTTCCTTACACCATGAGCCTGTCAGTGCAATGCAGCTACGGCCCAATCCTGCCTCTCACCAGCCAGAGCTCCCTGGTGCCGTATGGGCTCATGCTGCTGCAGAACCAGGAACCAGGAGCAGGGCCAGGCTGTGCATCAGCACATGGGAGGTGTCTCACCTAGAACCTGTTCCTTCTTTGCCCTTTCAGGTGGGTCCCATTGGCCCCAAACCATCTCCGGGACTGAGGTCCAGCCTGCAGCAGAGCCAGCTTTTCTCTGTGTGTCATCTCCTGCCTTCAGAAGTCCTGTTGCATGCTTCAGACAATTTGGGTGTCTTCATCCAGGAGCTGGGATTCCAGGAAGCCTGATGGCCAACAAACAAGCTGGAAATGTGGATTTGTCAGAACTATAATCCAGGTACCACCTAGCTTTCTGCGTGTGCAAAGCCACACACTTTGTCCTTATACCTGCCTCTCCCCCTGCAGCCTCCATCCCTGCTAGTCTTTCCTGCCAGTCCTGCTAAGGCATAGCACTGAGATGTATTTCTGCTTCTCCTTGTCTCTCCTTAGCATACATGTCCGAGGCACAACCCCAGAGGCCAAAGGAAAGCAAGAATGTTGAAGAAGATCCACATATGCCTCTGCTTCTTCTTTGTCTCGGGCATTTTGTACGAGATCTCCTTGCTGTCCGGCTGCTTCTTCTCCTGTATGCCTATGCCCAAGCACTTCCTGACACCTGAGCAGGTCTTGAACCTGGGAAAAAGCATCATCTTCCTGGAGACAACGGAGCGCCTGGAGCCGCCCCCACTGGTCTCCTGCTCTGTGGAGTCTGCTGCCAGGATTTACCAGGACCGGCCCGTCATCCTCTTCATGAAGGGGCTCACGAATGACACGGTATTGGACTCAAACTCCAGCTATGCAGCCTTCTCACTTTTATCTTCTATGAAGAATGTCTTCCTTTTCCCTCTCCAGATGGAAACCATCTTCCAGGAGACTCCCCTGCTGCAGTGGTACAACGAGGTGAGAGTTGGGATGAGGGGAAAAACAGGGAATGAATTATAGATGGGGGATCCTCAGGACAAGGCTCAAAATGAATGGAGGAGAGTGGGCCTGGCTACGTGAAACCAGTCACTTTTATTTTTCTGGTTCAGAATAGGTTTATTTTTGCCATGTTTTGCAATGTAGTCATCTATCTGTTTATCGAACACATTATCAGCATTTTCCCAGTATCTGGAGAATCAGATTTTTTGGCAAATGAAATGTTGGTAAAAATAGATTGCATACGTGTTTTGATAAAACAGAGCTTAATAGTCTTGCTCAACAGAAGCTAACCAGGCGTGTTGCACGAGTCATCTGAGCACTTGTGAACGCTGCCATGCTGGCAGAGCACCACCTTTTGTGGTGTAGGAATAGTTTCATGGTGCTGTTTGATGCCAGATGGGGGATGTGGTTGTTCTCTGCTAGAATCATGGTCTCGCCTCTCCAACTCTGCAGGTAGACCCGGAGGAGGAGAAGAATTGGGTCCACGTCAGCTCTGATGCCAGCAGACTGGCTCTCATTTGGAAGTACGGGGGCATCTACATGGACACGGATGTCATTTCCATCAGGCCCATTCCCGAGGGGAGCTTCTTGGCAGCACAGAAGTCGCGGTTCTCCAGCAACGGGATCTTTGGCTTCCCTGCCCGCCACAAATTTATTTGGGACTGCATGGAGAACTTTGTTCTCAAGTACAATGGGAACATCTGGGGGAACCAGGGCCCCTTCTTAATGACAAGGATGCTCAAAACCATCTGCAATCTCACCGATTTTGAAGGCATTGAGGACCACAGCTGCCAGAACATCTCCTTCCTAAACCCACAGCGTTTCTACCCCATCCCGTACCCAGCCTGGGGCCGGTATTATGACGTATGGGACAAAAACCCCGATTTCAACCACTCCTACGCGCTGCACTTGTGGAACTTCATGAACCGCAACCGGAAAGCTGTGGTCGCTGGCAGCAACTCGCTGGCCGAAAAACTGTACAAAACCTACTGCCCCACCACGTACGAGGACCTGATCAAAAACGCGGAGCTGAGGGATTTACCGAGCTATGAGGACTCTGTGTGACATGTGGTGAGAAGAAGGGGAGTGATCCTTCCAGACTTCCCTTGTCCAATGGCCAAAACACGGTCACCACTGGTGGCAGCAGCTGGGCTCTACTGGAGAGAGACCTTTTCATAACCACTGTCCCCGCTCCCCCGGACACTAAGAAGCATATGCAGAATGGTGGTGGTTATCCATGGGATGTAGCCTCCACTGACATAAGGACAGCTTTGCATGAGTGGTTTAGGAAATTAGGTTCTGTTTCCTCATAGGCACTCAGAAACCAAACCTTACTTAGTCAAAGGGATGTTTGAGCCTTTCTGGTGAGCTTTCTTGAAGGGGAAAGTTCCTGAAGAGCTGTGTTGGCCTCCTGGGAGGGATTTCAAATGCCCCTCTTGACATTACTGGCAGCTACGAGTCTGAGGAGTTGCAGGCAGAACAGGCCTTGGACTGGGATGAGGGCTCTGAGCAAGTGTAGAGCGAGTGTATAGCAGAGGATGGACAACAGACATTACTGATGAAAAGTAGCCCAAACTACTGTCTTCATTAATCTGTGTCTTTTCTCACATGAACTTTATACCCTACGTTTTTGAGAGGGACCTATCACTGCAAGTGAAAATAAAATGGGTAGTAAACCACCACTCCTCTGAGCTTGCTTTCACCTGGAAAAGCCTTCCTCTTTTTAAGGAAGTTTGCAGTCCTGCACCTCTACTTTGTCTCCTTTCAGGAAGGGGCTGCCCTTGCCCAGCCCTGGGGGCAGTTCTGGCCACAAGGTGTTGTCTCCTGAAGGGTAGGTGCTGGGGCACCAAGAACTGATGGCACCAGCCTGCGGGGACTCCCAGGTCCCATTGAAATCTATGGATTTCAGTTGCCCTGAGAACAGGGCACAGCAGCTCCAGAAAAGCCCTTTCTGGAGGTTTTAGGAAGGTCACCCATCTCCAGACGTGCCACCTGTTTTTGCTTTCTCTCCGTTCTGTAAGATTTTGCAGTGCCTGTTGCATTTGTCCCGTTCTGTCTTGCTGGCCTCCTGCTCACCCTGGAGGTGCTTCCTTCAGGATTTGCTATTGCTGAGAGACAGGATTCCCATGGGCCATGTCTCCCCACCAGCCTCTCTGAATTCTCTCCATGCAGCGCCATTTTTAGGGCCACTGTGAAAAAGAAAGGGCCCATTTAATCCTAACAGGCTTCCCAGTGACATTTCTTTTCCTGCAAGAAAGCAATGCATCCCCTTGCATTTACTCCCTCCCCTCCCCGAGGTAAAGCAAATCCACCTAACACCACCATGAAAAGCCCAGCTTGCAAATCTCTTCTGCGTCTGTCTGAGCAGCTGTTTTTAGGCTGGGAGCAGAAAGGCGGGGGCGGGTGGCTTGCCCGTCATCGAATGTTTGCCATCTGTACAATGCTATCTTCTGTAAACACAGCAGCTAATGAGCGCGCTGCAATCTGCACGCTGCGATGGCAGCCGGATTAATCGGGAGGAGAAAGCCCTCTGCGCACGTGGGCTTTATGCAGTCAGGTGCCGGGTTTGGGTCTCACTCCAACCCCACGGATCGAGCCCCATCCATCCTTATTAAGCGCTGAAGTCAATCAGTGTAAGGGCAGAAGGCACCAAGCCAAGCTGGGGGTTGTCAGAGCACCAGCATGGCACGGGGGGATATTTTGCCTTTTCCTTCCCCAGTGTGAAACTCTCATGGCTCAGCCCGGGGCCATGGGTTTCATGCTTCAGTGCTGCCCACGGAGGCTGGTTTTGCCCAGCTATGGCAGTGGGAGCTGCTTTTTCTCCGTGCTTTTGAGTTTCACAGGCTGGGGGAAGTCTGGGAGGAGTGTAGGGTTACAGCACGGGAAGTCCTCCCTGCTCTGCAGGGCTGTGCACAGCCCCTCACTGCCCTGTCCCGTCCCTGTCCCAGCTCCTCACTTCCTCTGTCTCTAGCAACAAGTGAGTATTTGCTTTTTTTTTTTTTTCTTTTTTTTCTTTTTCTCTTTTTTCCTTTTCCTGCCCCCACTCCTCAAGCTGTTGAGGGGAGGGAGGGACAGTGCTGGGGGATGTGCTTAGGCTTGAGCTGCTCAGGCTCTCGTAGTACGTTAGCTCATGCGAAAAACATTTCCGAGGCTCCTCTGGACTGTTTTGGCGAGAAGAGAGGCTGATGAAGGGAGGGAGGTGAATGCTGCTTGCAGGCAGGGCCCGGGGAGCTGCTTGTGGGCAGGGTCTGGGTCTCCTGACCCCTCTGCTCCGTGGTCAGTGCTGCTCCACCAGCTCCTTGGTGGAGCTGGTTTGTACACAGAGGAGTGGGAATTGGGCAGGTGAGCGCCTCTGACTAAGCTCAGCTGGATGGTCCTCACTGCTGCCTCTGTGACGGACCCTCATCCCTCATGGCCATTGTTTACAGCACCCAGCAAGCAAAATCTGAGTCCCAGTGAATCAATGTTTCCCTGGTGGGCCCGGAGGGTGGCTTCTACCAGCAGCCATCGCATCTGCTGGTGCTGCACTGCATTGCACAGCAGAAGGCAAAGTGTTTTTACACCGGCTGGGGACATACCCAAGGCAAATTTGAGCAAGAACTGAGGAGAAGGAATAAACCTGAAGAGCTGGGTTCCTGCCTTGCCTGCTGCAGTGGTTTCAGTGCACCCCAAAGCTCTGCTTGCACCAGTTGTGACTTGGCGTGTGGCATTTTCCAGGAAATGCAGGGGAAGCCCACCAGGCTCTGGCACCCATGGGCATGCCCGAAGCAGGTGATGGGGCAACCTCAGCCACGCTGCTAAGCAGCAGGGTTTGGTTAAACACTGCTGGCTTTGGTGCGTGAAGGCCTCGTTAATATTAACAAGGTTGTGCAACACAGCCTGCCTCCCAGGGCGTGTGGGAGATTGCTAGGGGGTTTTAATTAGCACCCTGGAGAACAGGGAGACGCCTGAGAGGGAGGGGACTGGGGTTGCTGCTGTCTCCTTTCCGCTTCCAGACCCCGTTTCCAGGCATTTCTCATAAACTCAGCCTCGTTTAGGCGTGGTTGGTTCGCAGCCCAGAGCCTCACCTGCAGCAGCCACGTGCTGTTCCCCAGCAGATCTACGCAGTTTGTGGCCATGAGTCAGGGCTATATTTAGACCTATATATACATATGGGTGTACATATCTACACAAGCACTGTGTCTGATGCAATGAATTGGGTTGTCTGACACTTGAGTGCTGCTAATAGCATGTATATATATATATACACATATATATATAACAGCAGTAATAATGCTAGTGATCTTTACTGGCCATACAAGCCTGGGAGGGAAGGGGCTTGCTGACGTGGTGATTTTAGGTGCACATCAAAGACGATAAAGTGAATAAAGCCTAAAGGAAGCCTGTGGTTATCTTCATGTCACGCTAATGTGCAGGCCCTCCTGAAGGCTTTCTAGCACAGCTGACCAAAGAGAGGCAGCGACATGAACAGGCGCATGCAGGGCAGAGGAACAAGAGGGGACATTGCAGAGCTTGCAGTGGGTTTGAACATGCTGAGCTGGACTGAGAGCAAACAAGTCTTGCAAGGAATAGGGGAAAAAAAAGATCAAAAAAATGATGATCTTATCCCAGGATACATGCAGGCACTGCAGAAGGCTTCCTGGCTGGGTTTTCCAGCTGGAAAGCCCCATGCAAGGTGCTCAGCTTGAAAGTGCTTTGCTCATGCTCCGTCCTGCCTGTGCCACCGTCACTGTACGTGCCTGCTGAGACCAAGCCCTGAGGAAAAGCACAGGGTCTGGAGCATCCCACTTGCACTTCTGGGGACTGAAATTGTGGCCAAAAAAAAAGCTGTAATGCTAACCATTGCCCCATCTGAGTTAGCAGAGGAGACCACAGCAAAGCCCACATTTATTCGGCATCTCCCTGGGATGCCAGACCCAGCGTGTCCCCGTCACACGAGTGCAGAAGCGGGGCCAGGAGTGGCAACACGGCTGCACGCAGCACACCCAGCAATGCCCTGCCCCACGTCCTGCCCAAAAATAAGGTGAGTGGCCCCCCAGCAAAGAGCGAGGACTAAAAACGAGGCGTCCTCGAGACGGCCAGAGGGCGGCCTGCAGTATGTGGGGCAGCTGCAGACACAAACTCATAGCACAAAGCATTGCAGCTTGGTTGAATTTGTAAATGTTTCGCAGCAGTTTGCCTGTGCTCAGACAAGAAACCCTAGTTAGAGTCTAGGAACTGCATAGGGCAATTTCACAGGTTTAAAGCTATGTGTTTTAAATATAATTACTTAATTATTGCTTAGGGTGCAGCTAGGAAAATGGGTGAACACTGCTTCTGGAAATGATCTAGGTCAGAGCAAGATAACGCAGAGGGAAGCAGCGCTGTGATTTTTGTGTGACCAGTGTTTACCACGTACTGCTTGAAAACAGGCTGTTTTCCTAAAATGTGTAAGTCAAGGAGGTTGGGTAAAGGGGGTTACAAATTTGTTCGCAACACTTTATTTTAAAGAGTGGCAATGTGACGGTTTTAGAAAACTTTCCTTTACCAAAAGCAGATGGTAGATAAACTGGAAGATTTTTTTTTTTCTTTTTTCTTTTTTCAGAGCTTGGCAAAAGCAGTAGATAGCAGCTGCGGAGAGGAAGAGAAGAAGAAGGTTTTGTGCTTGCTCCCAGGTATTATGAACGCTGACCTGCTCCCCACCATGGTAGGGCATCCAGTAGAGCTGGAGAGCAGCAGCGTGGCCAACCTTAACACATCCTTTCTCCCTCCCAGCCCTTTTCCACAGGCATTTCCAGCCCGTGTATGGGACCGTAGGGATGCTGGGCACGGTCCCAGGGTTCACCAGCCCAACCCACGTCCCCTGCTTCCACTTCCAGCCCCGCCGGGCCGGCATGGACTGGCGTCGCTTCAGCGCCGTGGACGTGGAGCGGGTGGCCCGGGAGGTGGACGTGGCCACGCTCCAGGAGCACATCGCCAGTGTCACCTTCTGCAACCTGGACGGGGAGCAGTGCCCCCACTGTGGGCAGCCGGCGGACCCCGTGCTGCTGAAGGTGCTCAGGATGGCCCAGCTGAGCATCGAGTACCTGCTGCACTGTCAGGAGCACCTGGGGAACATCCTGGCCACACACACCCAGCGCCTCCAAGCCACCCGCGCCGAGCTGGCCCGAGCCCAGGACCTGGTGTCGGAGCAGGCAGCGCAGCTCCGGGGAGCCAAAGAGGAGAACAGGAGGTGGAAGAAGCTGATGGCCACCCAGCAGCTCCTCCTGCAAGCCGACCCCAGCAGATACTGCAAGGTGCGTGGTGGAAAGGTGCAGAGCGCGTCCCCTGTGTGATGCTCTTTGCTGCATCCCGGTGCTGGCTTGTTGCCTCTGTGGAGACTGCAAAGTCCTTGTCAGCCCAGGGGCTCCCTTTTTGGTGGACATGCAGGGGAAGGGGGTGAAAGCTGCATGGGCTGCAGGAGAGGAGGCTGGAAAGGGATGACTGGGGAGATCTTATGAGATCCGTGTGTCCTGGGGGATATCTCATGCCAGGGAGACTTGGAAATCCTCCAGCCCACTGGGGGGTTTCTGGAGGCTCCTGGTTTCGGTGGTGGTTTTGACTGTTATCTTGCTGCTGAGGCTTTCCCAGCCTTTCAGCAGAGAGTGCCAGCCGTGCCTTTGCGTGCACATCTTCTCCCTCACCAAATCAACCCGCTTGCTTACTCCTGGAGGTCAGAAGACCCCAGACCAGGTGGTTCAGGTGACTCTCTCCCCCTCCCCAGTGCCACCTCTGTGACAAAGCCTTCCTGAGCGATGTCTTCCTGCGAGCCCATGTGCAGCGCCGGCACGCGGAGGACACCGAGGCAGGTGAGCACTGGGATGGTTTCCCTGCGTTTTCCTATGACTTCGCATTTCTTCTCTGTTCCTGTGAATATTTGTAAATATTTTCTGCTCGCTGCCACTCCCTGAAGCACGGGCAGGGTGTGTGGTCAGACACAAGACTGCAGGCACCCTTACAGCCCATCTCTGCACCTCAGGCTCCCCGAGGACCTTCCCTACCCGTGGGGATGGAGCCACAGTGGGGAGTCTGGGAGAGTGTTTTGCTTGAGTGGCAGAGGGATTCACGTTTTTTGCTCCTTTTGGCAAGGAATTGATGCTCTTGGACTTGGCAGATCAAAAACCTTTTGCTCTTTGCTGGCAGGTTGAAACTCCAGCCCAGGGCTGATGCAACACGACAGGTTTGTCTTTGCTCTGAGGCGCCTTCCTGGGTGCAGCCCAAGACGTCCAAGCAGGGCACTTCAGCTGCTGCAGACAGCCAGCCCAGCTGCTCCTCTAGCCTCTAATCTCTCCAAGTTTATCAAAAAAATAAATAAATCAGAGGCCACTTTTCTCATGTTTTTTTCCTGCAGCTGAGCCAGCTCCTTCTGCAGCCTGACACCCTGCGGCGAGTTTGCTCGGTGCTTTGTTGGGGTGTTGCTGGGTGTTTCTGGGTGTTTCTGTCACCTCTCCAAAGCAAAATCCCAGTAGGAGCTGGCAGATCGCACCCTTGCTCACAGTGCCTCTGTTTCCCCAGGCTTTGCAGAAAGGCAGAAGATGAAGCGGGTGGAGCAAATGGAGCAGGAGGTTGAGGAGCTGAAGGAGAAGCTGCGTGAGACACAGCAGCAGCTGGCAGCGGAGAGTGAGGCAGAGAAGCTGCACAGGGAAAAGGTATGGAAAAAGAGGGAGAAGCAATGAAACATGGGACATTTTTAAGCATAGGTGAAAAAGGTACTGAAAAACATCATATGGTGGGGCTTGTGTCTATTTATGTGGAAAATTTGCCCCAGAAGGTTCCTGTGGGAAATGTGAAGTGGGGGTAAATGGTGGCACTTGTGTAAGTGTGCCTGCCCGAGGCTGTGCTGCCTCGTCCTCCCGTTGTGTGCAGCGTGGGGAGCTCCAGGAACATCGCTGCTCACGTGGCTGGTCCAGGGCAGAAGCCCCAGCCCTTGCCCAACCTGGGCGCTCTGCTCCTCAGCCAGGACATCTGCTCCAGTTTTTTGTCCTCTTTAGGAAAAAGAGAGAGCTCACCAGCGAGAAGAGGAGAGCAGGAGAGATTTGGAAAGGTGGAAAGAGGAGGAGAGGATGAAACTGCGTGCAGAGATGGATGGCCTGAAGCAGCTCTTCCTTGGGGAGCTGAAGGACATTGCCAGCAAGAGCAGTGCAATGGAAGGGGTGAGCCAAAGGGACAGCAAGGGGACATCTGAGCTTGCTGCCTTGCATGATCCAGGTGGCCTTGCAGGTTCACAGCCTGAAGAGTCACCCTTTTTCCTGGGGCATGCATGCACTTTGGATTTGGGGGCAACAACTGGCTGAGGTGGGACTCTCTGGGAGGAACAAAGAGCCTCCTGAGGCCCACCGGGGACAAGCTGCTCCTTCTCCACGCTGCAGAAACTGCAGGAGCTGCAGGCCAGAGAGGCAGTGGTGTCCAGCCTGGGGACCCTGCAGGACGATGACTCTGAGGAGATGCGGTGGCAGACACCAAGCTGGACAGAGCAGGAGAGGACAGCCGTGCAGGTGAGCAGTGGGGTGCCTGTGTCCTCACCCCTGCCACACATCCCAGGAGGTGTGCTGGATGGAGATGGACCCACATCTGTGCACCTCTTTGTGTATCTGCTCCCTGCATGTGTGGTCTCAGCTCAGTTTCTGGTAGCAATGAGCCCAGAAATGGGACCTGGAGGGCACCAAGGGCACGCCAAGGTGCCAGGTCAGCCCTGGAAAACCCTTCTTCACTGGAGCACTGTCACAGCTCACTGCATGGAAAAGCACTTAAAGTAGCAAATGGACAGAAGAGATTTCTTTCCCCATGCATCAGCTGCCTTCTCACTCTCTAAAAACATCTGAACAGGGCCTTGGCATGCACAGCACCTCTCAGTGTTGAGTGGGTTGGGACAGGCACAGCTGCTGTGGTGGCAGGCGTCCTTCAGAACCCAAAGAAATGGGATTTTGCCATGCAGTAATGCATTTGGGTGCCCCTGCCCATGAGGACCCACAGCCCAAGGAGGGCCACGTGGGTGTGTTTAATTTGGCAGAGGACAGAGGGGAGGCAGGCACTGAAGGACCTGCAGAGGGAGCACGCAGACATCCTTGACACCTTGCTCAGGTGCCAAAGCACCTCACTCAGGAAAAGCCTTTGTGGTTTCTCTCCATCTCAGTTTCAAACCCCAGAGATACAGGTCTTGTCAGAAAAGCTGGGGGAGACCCTCTTTGCAGGCCAGCTTAGTGCCTCCTGATAATGGGAAAGAACAGATCTGCACACCTGAAGTGACCGTAGCTGGATTTCAAAGCCCAGGTCAAGAGAATAGAGTTATTTTATTATAAAGGGGAAAGACTATATGAAATGCAACAACCAAAGTTATCACAGCTGATGAGAAGACATAGGCTTGCCACCAGCAGATTTTGAAGTTGGCCATAGGTCTTCTGTAAGGCCAGTGATGCCCTTTGGGGGACACCTCCCTGGGGATGCCAGGACGACCCGATTGGACTCACATGTCTGTTGGCTTGTAGATCACCAGAACGGCTTGCGTTACAATTTGGAGCATCTTCTGCTCATTATCTGATCTGTGAATAGCACAGAGGTACAACAGCCTGGCACCTGCTGTGCGGTGGTTGTACCATGGAGGAGTATGCCCTGGCGGGTATGGTCTGCTTAAAGCTAAAAGCATTTCGGGGTGTATGTGTCCAGTTTAGGCTCCTGCTGTTTTCTGCTCCTTTTGTGGTGCATTTAATAGTAATATTCCCCAGGGAGAGGAAAAGTCACCCAAAAGTGTTGAGGAAGAAATGACCTTTGAGTGATGCACAGTCTGTTTCTTCACAGACCAAGCTGCTGTCTGCAAACAAGCCTGAAGGTAATGATTGCTTTTATAAGGTGAATCAGTTTGGGTCTAGATCAATTTTTCATAGCTAGGAACCCTTCAGACCATGCCGTCCTCTCTGTCTCCCACTACAAAAGCGTGCCATGGAGTCCTCTCTGGGGAGCTGGCTGTGTGTCCTTTACCTGAAGGCACGGAGCAGACATCCTCCAGCCTCCTGACTGCCTGCTGCAACAGCACGGAGTACAGCTCCAGCTGCAAGCAGAAAACCCCTGTCTCTTTGGGTCTTTTTTTTTTTTTTTTCCCCATAAAAATAAGAAGCTGGGATATGCTGTGTTTTTTTCTTTACAGCCTGGGTTTCCTATAATCAGGATCCAGGGAGGAAGAGTGGGGATTTCCCAGCTCCCTGATGCCTGCTGTCCAGCCGCTCATCAGAAAACAAACAAAAATAGGATTTCAGACATGGATGGCTATTAGCAAATACCCTGCGGGTACATTGTCCACACCAGCCCCGAGGGATGGCAAAGGGCTGTTTGGCCACTGACATCCTCCGGCTGGTGGCCCCAGGGGGTGGTGGTGCTGCTGCTGAGCACCCCGGGCTTTCCCTCAAGGATGCTCTCCAAGGCTTGGGGCCATCCTTGGACCCCATGGGCACAGATGTGTCGGAGCTTTCCATACAGTGAAACAAGGAGGTCAGAGCTTGCTTTTGTGCTCACCTTGGCCCTCACAGGCTGTTTTCATTCCTGCAGTGACCCGGCAGGTGACCAAAGTGCTGGTTGCTGAAGAATCCTCAGAAGAAGGTGGGCACCAGGGGTGAGACCATCTCTGTCCTGGCAACACCAGGACGAAGCTGGCATTTAGCTTTTGGGGTGTTGCACAGTGAGGGTGAGGGGTGGTGGCACATGGTGGGGTGGGGACACGTACCTCCATGCCAGGTACAGCAGCACCATGACCAGCCCTGCGGGGAATGCTTTACTCCAGAAAGCTGCCCCAGGCAGCTGCTGTGCTGTGGGTGGGATTTTGGAAAAGCTGTGGCTGGGAATGACTCAAGCTGGAGATGGAAGGCACCTCAAAGGGGACCAGGGACCAGCTGGCTCCTCAGGGCACAGCCGGTGCCTTACTGCTCCCACCTTCACTGCAGGCGGGGAGGAGGATGCCCTGGGTGGGAGGCGGAGACTGCTGGAAGCCCTGCGGAGAAACCCAAACCTCCTGAAGAAGTTTCGGCCCATCCTGGAGGAAGCGCTGGAGGAAAAGCTGGAGAGCATGGGCGTCAAGAGGGTAAGTCTGTCCTTTTGCTTCTGGCACTTCCAGCCCTGAGCCAGTGCAGGGATGCAAGGAGTGCTGCGAACAGATTAGTTATTTTGGAGCAACCAAAACACTAGCAGGGAGTGAAACAGCCCATGCCTGGAGCAGTCACGGCCTGAGAGGCAAACGGGAAGGTGGAGGCAGAAAGCACATGGTAGCGCAGGGAATAAACCACCTCTGAGGTTGGTTATTAATAAATATCCAGCAGCTCTTTCTCGCAAGCAGCCTTTCATATGCTAAATCACCCAGGGCTCCCTCTCTTCCAGGGAAGGAGGGTGTGTGAGGGCACAGCAGCCTCTGTCACGGGGATTTCGAGAGGACTTTCACTGGTCCTTTTCATGCCAAGCATATTAAACAGGACCTCATGAATCTTGCCGAGCTCCCGGCAATGCAACACCACCACCTAGCACCTTGCTGAGCTGGTGCAACAGCAACCAGTGGCTGAAGCCTCATCGTTGGACTGTTTGCATGGGATAAGAACATTGCACTGGGGAAACAAGGGGCTGGGGAAATGATGGGCTGGTACCACCCTTGGGGTTTGGGCAGGTCTTGGGATCGAGCTAGGAGGATACTCATGAGATATGGGCAGTGCTGTTGATGGCTCGTGTCACCACCTGGTGCTGTGGAAGGACAGCTTGGCCACCCTTTTCTTTAGGTCATGACAGGGATCTCCACTCAGACCTACCAGCACCTCCGGGCTGTGGTCAGGCTTCAGCAGCAGCAGAGGGCTGCGAAATTTCCCGGTCTCCTCCACCTAAGGAGCGAGCTGATCCAAGCTGTGAAGAGGAAAGTCAAGCAACGCAAGAAGCCTGGCATTGCTGCCCCTCGACAGCTCTCCATCATCCCAGGTGAGGTGAGCTGTCCCTAGAGAGCAGCCGTGGGGACCTGTGGCCACCTGCTGATGGCTGTGGGATGCTGTTCCCTTAGGCAGCAGGGCAGCCCTTGGGCAGCTGGCAGCTGCATCCCTTCTCGTGGAGCTGTGCCAGCGCCAGGCCCCCATTTCTGTGATTCACCTGCTGTGCCCCTTGCAGGGATAGCCGTGTCCACAAGGGAGAAGCCCGTGGAGAGACGCCTGGTTGCGACCACACGGAGACCAGCTGGTGGGGTCAGCTCCTCCCAGCCCTGAGCTCAACATCTCCCAGAGCCACCGGGAAACTCCAGGTATCTCATGTGAATGGTCCCAGGGATGGGCTTGGATGTCATTTCCAGGAAAATAAGGTTTTGTATCCATCAGCAGTGCCACAAGGTCGTCCCTTTACAAGGAGCTCAAACTTAGAGCAGGGGAGACCTGGCCACTAGTCTCTTCCCCAGGCAGAGACGAGCATCCTTCCCTTCTTCTTTGTCCATTTGTCCTCTTTGGGGGAAATTAAAACAGTGTTCATGCAACTGGTATCAAAACACTAAGTGTTAGAGAGTCAGATTAAGAAAAGGTCTCTGGAAAAAATCCCAAAATAATTGGAGTGATGCAATGGTGAAATTATTAAATTACTGAATATGACTTAAACATAACCTCAGTTTTGGGGGGAGAGCTGATTTAATTAAAGTGTGGGCAGAGTCAGCATCATATTGCTTTTATAGAAATGGGAGGAGAAAAGAGGGGAGGGAGGGGGTTTTTACCAAAGGATTTTTTATTTATTTATTTATTTTTAATTGCAGTGAGGATGAAATTCTTGCCTTTATCTGGCAAAGTGAAAAAAAGAAGCGGAGATTCCTGGGGCACTTTGCAAGCCATGGAAATAGAGAGAGGGTCTCCTGTGTGGCATCCTGATGCAGCTGGGTTTTGCCATCTGCTCTAATTTTGCAAATACAGGATGAGCATCCTGCCCCACTGCCCCCTTCACCCTCCCCGGGCTCAGTCTGCAGGTGACAGCAGCGACCAGGAGACCTCCTCCCCTTCCAAGCCACCAGCACCGGTGGCTGGTGACACAGGGGTGAGGGTCCCCGTTCGGCCAAGCCCTGTGCGAGGGATGCTTGGTGGTGGCAGGGAAATGACAGTCCTCTGCCAGCAGCCACTGGATGGTGCCACAAGACCAGGAACGAGCTGCAGCGCAGCATCCCACCGTGCCAGAAGCTTTCAGCAGCATCTCCCGGGCTGGGGCCACCCGCTCCCACCAGGCCCGGTGCCTGTGGCTGCTGTACCTGTTGACAAGTCCAAAGAGCAGCATGGGAGGGAGAGAAGGCAGCTGTTCTCGACCTTGTGTCCCTCTCTGCCAGCTCTCCCAAGGGTCCGAGGGAGACCCTGGCCCAAGCACACGTGGGCAGAGGAGCAAGCCACAGCTGTGGTTTCCTTCCTCCTTCCTTCTTGAGTGGGAACTCTGACCCAAAGGACGACCATCTGCAGCATCACCAAGTGAGATTGGCTCTGCTTTTAATGCTTGTCGGCATAAATGAAGTGTGTTTTCCAAACTCGCTCTGGCTTTTGTACATCTGTAGCAGGGCGTGAAGTGATCTTGATCCCTCCAGAGTACAAAATTTTTAAAAATGCAGCTTCTCAGCTTCTCTGTTTTCCAATCCACTCCACCACCAGTTTAAATTTCTATCTTTGCCTGTTCCTAAGTGCAAACATTTGCACGTGCATTTTGATGCTAGGGAGCAGAAAGCCCGGCCAGGGCTGAGCAGCACAGGGTGAATTCATTTCATTCCATCAAATAGCAAAAGTGCCTTCCAGATAAGTGCTTGCCAACATGCAGAACACCACCACGTAATTTGTAAATCCACAGGTCCCCAGGGATGTATGCAGTCTGCTGTGTGCCTATACCCTCCCACATTGTGTGGGTCTGTAGCTACATACCTTGAAAAGGAATTGTTCATTTTAATCTTTCGACGTGAAATAAGAACTATACCTGGTTTGTGTTATCCTATCTGTAGAATTCTATTGCTAGATGTGTTACTTTATGGCTAATTTAACAAATGTTTTTCTTTTTGGTGAGTGGGGATCATAAGGAGAACTGCTTTTAATAAATTGAATAAAGGAGGGATGTTTTCGTGCCATTCAGAGAGCTGAAATTGGTGTCTCAGAAAAAGAAATGAGCCTTTTACCTGTAAAATAGGTGGAGGTAGGAGCAAACGTTTGCTCCTGTGTAAGGGGTGATAAAGGCAATTCACACACCTCTGGGCTGTGCTGGCATGATCCAAAACTGATGAGAAAAGACATCTTCTGCCCCAAAGAGCAAACAGCAGGACCAGGACAGCCAGAAGAAGCTGTTTCACCCCTACTACATAGCAAGATCAGTGTCAAGGCTGTGCCTTGCCCTGCACCTCCCTCTCCCAGCTGCTTCCCTTCCCTATGTCAGAGAATCAAAGAAATCATGCTGTGCCACCAACTGACAGCCAAACCTCAGTGTGTGCAGCTCCTGCGCATGTTCACCTGCAGACAAATGCAGGAACCAGGCCTGTGTTCACTTTTCCAGCAGTTCTCGTGCCTGCGGTGCTTTCCAGCTGCTCCAATGAGCTTCAGGCACTCGACGCTGAGCCCAGATGGTGCCAGACAGGTGGGGGAAAAAATTGCCTAAGACTGGGAAACTCCAAAAGTATCCTTGTGCTACAAGAAACAAATAAATAGATATACACAGGGACAAGGCATTTTTGTTTCGGACTAAATGTTTTGAGCCAGCACGGTCCATAGGAAATGGCTCTCCAGGTGCTACTGGCTTCAGCGTGCATAGGGGGAGAGGATGCACAGTGGGCATGGAAGAGCCATGGGTTAGCACCGGCAATGGGAGAGGATGGAGGTGTTTTTTCTCTTGTGTTATGGACTTCTTCCCCTAGGAAAAGCTGATTCTTCCCGTGCCCCTTTTTAGCGTGCTGTCCTCAATGGGCTGCAGTGGTGGGGACCTGCTGTGAGCCCTGTGCCCGGTAGCAGTGCTGCACAATCCTGCTGTGCTGTGCAATGCCAGAGCACCAGGGATGATCCCGAGCAGGCAAATCACCACAGCCAGGGGGATGTAAAACAAAACCAACTGAAACAAAGCCAACAGAAAGCGCATGGTGGCAGAGAAAGTCAGAAGTGCAAGCAGGGACTCTCACTCGCAGCTGGGTTTCAATAGGCAGACAGGTGTCCTGATAATTCCTCCGCACAAAGATGCCTTTGTAACTGCATTAAGGAAACAAATTTGGCTTCTCCCGTGGGAGAGCCAGAGCAGAACAAAAGCTGACTCCAAAATGCATTTCCCCTGCCCTGTAAAAACAAGATGTTGTAATGCCACGAAACAACTTTAACAGCGAAAGCAACGGGGAGGCTGCTGTGGGCAGAGATGCCCCATGCAAACCACAGCCATCCTGCACGCTGCCGCCTCCTCCAGCACCTTGAAAAGCCCCAAAATGTCTCCTCTCCCTCTCCATCCTTTGCATCTGCTCTTCAAGTCAAATCCTGCCCAGCTGTGGGCTGTGGTTTTGCCTTTCCTCCAGTGCAAGCAGCCTAGTGCTCACCCCTCTGCCCTGACCCACCAGCCCCCGGGCAGGTAGCTCCATGCTTCCCACACCCTTAAATTCCCACAGGGCTTTGTTTTCCTTCCCCTCATTTTTTTGACCTTGTCTTCAGTTTATTGCAGCCTGGGGAGTTCTGCACAGTCTTCACCAGTTCCTGTGCCTAGTTTTTCACACTAGAAGCATCCCCTTTGGCTTCATCCTCTCTGGAGTCTCTGGGTGAAGCATGTTCAAAGCCAGCAGTGTGAAGGACTAGCGGATTTAAGGAAGGAGAAACCACACAAATCAGGGATCCCCTGTGGAAACAGGTCCTTTGCACAGCCATGTCACACTGGAGGGTCTATGAGAAAACCAAGGATGGCCTGACAAAACCAGCTAATGCATGCACAGGCAGCTTCCATATTTCAGGTACTGTGACATGGCCATGCCATTTAGGACATCCATGGGGCACATGCATGACCCCCTTCCATGTGTCAATGCAGCACAGATCTACCGAAGTTGCCTGTTGGGCCCTAGCCAGGAGCCTAATGCCGTTGGAGTATAAATGCTCTTTGAAAGAATATATTTTGTGTTTTGTTTCTCTCAGTGACATCTGTCTTCATGGGATGCCATTTATTGATAATGCTCTTATAAAGCATGAATATGTGTGGGACAATTAGCAGATAATCAAACCACAGCACTAACGATCTGTGAATGCAATGCAACACTCCCAAATAACAAAAAGCTGAAAAAAAAATAAAGGAAAAGAAAAACCCTATCAAATTTATTCAGCTGGAATATCTCACCCAGAGAGCTATTCTCCCATAATATTTGGTGCAAGCATGGTGTCATAAATCTTAGTGCTATTAATCCATAGACTCATTCATCTCTGTTCAGCTATATAAAAGCAGTAACCTTGTCACTATAGGAAAGAAGATTGGGCTTTTAATTGCATATAGATTTCAGGAGAGTTCTTATCTCATAGTCCAATTTGTAGCTTCAGATATGGGTCCTTGCTTCCCTTGGTCAAAGTCCATGCAAATCTGCCGTGCTCTCATAGACTTATAAATGTTGCAGAAGCTCAGAAAGAACCTATACAGAGCTCTGCTGGCAGATAATACACACAGCCTTTTCAGTGTCTGCTTTATTAGACAAGCCTATATTTAATTAGCTGCTTTGAAGCAGGACGTGCACTTTCAGAGGATGATGAAATTCATGGAAACAAAACTATTGCTGAGTGTGGGCACACACACGCTCACATCGTCAACCACGTTTTCTGCTCCAACTCATCTCCCTTGGCTCTGCGGCTGTACCAAATGCACCCCTTGCCCCATGGTTTGTTGTCGATAAAGGCAAAATAATTGGCAGGAGGTCTTCTGTCCATCACCAGTGGCAGATGCAAGAGGAAATGAGTGATTTCTTCATGGGACCAAGAGGTCCAGAGGAGCTGGGCTCCTGTTATTTCCAGGCTTCTGGGGAGCAAAGCTCCTTGTTGTTCCTCAGAGGTTGATTGCACCTTCAGGCAGCTTGAATATTGTTTTTGTTTGTTTGCTTGTTTGTTTTTTCCAAAATTCTAAGAAATAGGATTTTTTTTTCAGTGTAACCCTATCATTTTTAGCCAGCAGAGCTTTAGAGGAAAGCTTGGAAATGGAAATTTTGCTCTCACTAAAGACCAAGAGCTTTCTCTAAGCAGATGGTTTCAGCCACAGGGCTTTCAGGAGTTAGATCAGCTTGGAAGGAGATATTTGGGTCTGTCTCCTGATACAGGGAAACACCAAGTGCTTTCTGCTGAGGAAAGGCAGCTCCATGGCTATGGGCGCTCCTTCTCCCCATGCAGTCATCCCCCTATGCACAATGCTCAGCACTTGTGACTGTGCCCATGTAGTGGTGCCCACCACAAGACTGGGTCCCTTATGACCAACTCAGAATCAAGAGAGGAGCATCTGTAATGTCAGGTGCTGCTACATAACAGGCAAGCTCATAAATAAATGATTCTTGCCTGCAGAATACGATATTTTTTTTTTTTTTAACACTGCAAATTTTCAGCCAAGGTAAGGAAATGAAAACTGGTGCTGGAAGATTAGAAATCTACTGAGGGCAGGAATCAGAGGATCCAGCTCTGCTTCAGCTTTCTGCCACTCTCCATAATGCTCCTGCCCGCAATCTTGTCATCTATATGCCTGCTCCCATCTAAGTGAAACTGAGAGATAGGCAGCTCAGTGTGTTTGTCAGAGTATCTGTGTTGCATAAAAATAAAATGCAACTTTCAAAAGTGTGTCCTTGTAATTTTATGTGTGCACTTTCTTCTTCTCTTCTCTTCTCTTCTCTTCTCTTCTCTTCTCTTCTCTTCTCTTCTCTTCTCTTCTCTTCTCTTCTCTTCTCTTCTCTTCTCTTCTCTTCTCTTCTCTTCTCTTCTCTTCTCTTCTCTTCTCTTCTCTTCTCTTCTCTTCTCTTCTCTTCTCTTCTCTTCTCTTCTCTTCTCTTCTCTTCTCTTCTCTTCTCTTCTCTTCTCTTCTCTTCCCTGTAGTTGTTCTAATGCAGTATTAGTGCATTATGAAATGCACTAATTATGAAGTGCACTAAATGAAAAGGTATTTTTTTTTTCCTGAGTATTCTTCTGTATTTTTCGTTACCCTGTGTACCTCTACCTAACCACCACTTAAGTGTTTCCTATCTAAATTAAACATTCCTGTGCTTTCCAGCCCCTTTCCAGTGGAAGCTGGCAGGAGTGAGAGCATACCAGCAATATTTTTTTTTGCCTTCCTAAGAACAATGAGGTATTTAGAAGTGTTTAATTGCTCCCTTGAAAGTCAGGCAGATGCTGGGCTTACCAAAGTGGTCCCAATCCCCAAAAGCCCTGGGTACCTGCTGAGCTGCACACCTCAGCACACCCAGGGAGTTCAAGGAAAATCACTTGGTTTTCCAGCTGGGAAGACCCAGTAAATGCTTTAATCAGATGAATCTGGTTCAGGAGCAGCTGCCTGGAGCTCCCCCGGCAGCTTGTCCACAGTGAGGGCAAATATTCCTACATGGGGCAAGTTTGGCTGAGCAAGAAAGCTGGCAGCTTCTGTTCATGGCGAGGAAAGAACAAATGAAAACAATGATTTGGGGTCGTAAAGGCCTTTTCTTTTTTAATACTAAAGTAAAAAATATAAACAACCAACAAAACAAAACAAAATCCAGCATGCAGAAAAAAAGCAAAAAAGCTAAGTCTATATTGAGATGTGGGGGAAAATCCACCAGAACGACTGCATATTTAATTTTAAGGGGGACAGTGTTTCTCTTTGCACAACTGAAGTGGTATCCTTTCAGAACAAATCCTTAAAACAAGTCCTCCCCTAGTACAGATGGAAGAGTCAGCACTGGCATCCACTGGTTTCCCCAGGTGGCAGTGGGGACCAGAGTCCCACCGGAGAAAGGGCCAGGACCCTCTGCTGGATGGAAGATCTTCCGCTCTCTCCTCATGGTGGTCACCTCTGCTGACTGGCAGCCCCAGTGCTGACCATGCTCCCTCCACCTCTGAAGGCCAAACTCCAAGGAAATATTTGGCTCTACCCGTGATACCTCCACAACATGAAACTACCCAAGGAACTATCAGTGTTTAGCCAAAACAAATGTGCCTGTGAAAAACTTACAACTGTTCTAAGTGGGACGAAAACCTGTTGCAGAAATCTATCAAAATGGCTACTTTGGAGTGTTCAGACTCTTTTTTGCTCTCTCTTTTGCTTATCCCTCAGTACCCTTCACTATGCTTATTGGCCCTTTCTTGAGTTCTTATGTCTCTTTCTTCAGCCCCTTTAAATGAATATCCTTTCTTGTGGATAGGCTGGAAGGGGCAGTGTCCCACCAAGGATTTAATCTTCACATTATCTGGGGAAGAATTAACACAAGAAAGTCCCGATGTTAATATGGAGTTACACATCTAGTGCTCCCTGGGATTCCTGCTCCAAATGCAACTCTAATTAATTCTAAATGAGAAATTCTTCTGGTTTCATCAGCGATGACATCTGCAGGAACACCAGTCACACACAGGTTTTCAGCTACTACAGCAAATGTCTAGCATAGGAATAACAATGGATTATATATATCCCCCAGTGAGATCTGAAGAAATAAATACACTTTGGTATCACGGGTTATAGCAAATGTCTAAGTAACATAAATCAGATTAAATATCACAGCAGATCAGCACTGTAGTACCACCAGCAAAGCAAAGGTGTGTCTGAGTAGAAATAGTGCCCAGGGAGGAAAAATGCCATGACTACATGGTCTGTATGCATTGGCCATCACCGAAGGGACATTTTCATTCAATACACCACAAAATAATACGGGAGATTTTCAGATTATAATTTCTGCTTTTCACAATGTTTTTGGTTTAGCTTCTTGATTTGTTAAGGCTTTTTCGTATACAATCTCGGTATGTGTTTTTCAATCACAGACATCCAAGGTGACCACAAATGTAACAGGACCATTACTAAATGGGAATTGAAAACTTTTAGGTGAATTAGAAAATGGCACAAGGCAGAATCCTGGTCCTGGCTATCAGAGTTTATATGTAAAATATGAAGAAATAGTTCTACTCTGAAAGCATAGAGACATTACTTTTGCTATAGGCATGCTGAGAGAGAGCATGCCAGCAGTCAGCCAAATAAAACCAATGTGGTTAGGATACCACCTCCAAGTGGGGGAAAAACAATAGAAAACACAACCCTATTTACATACTTATTTGTTTGTGTATACTTGTTTCTAAACTGTAAAATGTTCTGTAAAATACAGCACACCTCAAGCTCAGAAAGTTTACTAGACATAGTCATATTTTGAAGGGTACGAGCGTCCTCCATCCTCGCTTCGAGGAGCTTCTTCATACCCTGGACCTTTCCTAGTCTTCGTTTCAGGTTCGTACCCGGAACCGACCTTATAGGGCCCAGTTCTGTAGGAGATGTTCCTCCCCGATGCATTGTAGGACACTGCCTTGTAACTGGAAGAGACATGAGACGTGGCATCAGATGCTGCAGGCTCTGTGACTCCCCTGTGCTGCACCCTGTGCTCCTGTTTGCTGTTGGGTTTTGGGAAACTCTGTACTGTCGTAACTTGGAGTCGCTGAATATGCTAAGCGCCAACCACCCGCAGACAGGCTACAAGTCTCTCTCACATTTTTTCATAAACCTATCCTTTCTTTCCTGTGAGTAAATCACTGGCTGAGTGAAGGACCTCCCAACGTCTTCCCTGAGCTTCCTTTTCTTACAGATAAAAGAAACCATTTCCCTCATCAGCTCCCCATAAGACTTGTTAATCATGATAACTTTTGCAATGGGGTCATTATGCCTACACCTGTCTTGTGGTGTACTGGCTGAATGCTATCTTGCCACCCAAGGCCTCACGCAATACCTTCCTGTGTCCACCACAGACAGACTTACCGGGATTCTTCTGGAATCATTCCTCTGCAAGCAAGGCACATCATGATGCCTCCTACGAGGGCCAGGCCACCTGCCACCCAACCAACAAAGAGGGCTGAGCCAAAAGTGTACCTACAAAACAGTGATGTGCGTGGTTACTGCTTTGACCCTGCTCCAGGGTGTTTCTTCATTGACATCACGGTCAATTTGCTCAGACTAATTATCTTTATCTCCAGTGCAGATGGGAATGAGGTTCATTGAATCTTCCAAGTCATGGGACCAGAGTAATATGCACCCAGAGTTTGTTTTTCCTTCAGCTGCAGCATGCCCTGGCCCTGAGGAAATCTGCACCATGGAGCATTCTGAGCTGAACAACCACCTACCTGTTCTGGACGTTCTGCATTCCCTGGTACATGTTGGTTGTGGACATCCAGAAGTTTGTGACCAGCATGTTGGCAAATACAGACACTCCGGTGATGGCACACAGACCTGAGATCAGACAGAAGGGTTGACTGAGACTCATGTAATACAAGCGATCACCTTGGGCCTTGAGGAAACACCTTACAGCTTGGGTGAGACACTGCCCTTTGTCCTGACATGGTACCTTATGGAGAAGTGGGGACCCACTGTGTGTTTGCATTTCTGCCACTATTTCTACATATTTACATTCCAGCAGCAAGAATAAAACTTTATACTTCAAAATCCCAAGTTCTACCAGCAGAAATGCCTGTGACCAGATGTGATGAAGACTGATCCAGTAATCAATTTCCGGTAAACACAATGATTTGCATATGGAAGACACAACACCACCCACTTACCTGCAACAATAAACATGATGCCAGAGGTCAGAGTCATGTTGGCTTTTGCAGAATCCTCCATGCTGCCAATACGAATGCATTTCAGAGCAAAAATGCACACAAAAAGGCCAAGGATGCCCAGAACAATACCCACGATCATGAGGGCCCTCACAGCCTGGAACATTGCTGCAAAACAAATTAAGAGCCACAATGAGCAAATGAATTGAGATTTGACAGAGCCTGGAAAGTTTTTAAAGACTATTTATATATAAAAATAATATATATATATATTATTTAAAAAAAAAAAAAATTAATATGCTGAAAGCAAAGACCATCCCATGGAAAACGGGCACCACATCTACTCTCAGCATAATTTGGGATGCCTCTGGAAATGCAGCTGTTTGTCTCAACTTCCCAAAGAGTTGGATGGTTTAAACAACTTCTTTTTGGAAATGTCCATGGGCATTGGTCATGATTTATTCAGCTGAAATTGATGTAAAGAGGTTGGTATACAGCTGGGGCAAGTGTGAATCAGGCTTGCGTGGCCTTCTCTATTGCTACTCCAAATAAAGCAGTTCAGCTGATTGCATTTGCATTGAAAAATGTTTCATAGGAGTGGAAAAATCATGACTTTCTAATGTGAGAAAGTTAAAATAAAGCCTAAATTATCTGAAGATACTGATATTCCTACTCATTCTCAGTGTGATAATGGATATTTAACATTGCTGGAATATATCAGGTCCTTAATTTAAATATTGCAAGAGCCCCAAGCTATAGTGTTAGAAATACCACAATTTTCTACCTGCAATTCAAAGTGGAATAGAAACCTTCTTTTCTTCATTCAATTTGTAAGGATTTGCTCATTTTATCTCTCTGTATTTATGTGCATCGCTGCTGCACCTCTAACTTACATCACACTAATGCTCTGTTGTTGTTTGGCTGATCTGTTTTTTTAAAAAAATTGAATTTTTCCATAACTGAACTGATTTGAGAAAGATTTTTTTTCCCCAGACAACAATGAGTGCAGAGAGCTCCACCCTGCTGTCCATGATATTCCAACCACTCTGTGACACCAAGTGGAGCTCTGTATGTTCCTCCTTTATAATAAAAACACATGTAACAGGACAAGAGAAAATCACCTTGACCAATGCTGCACATAGACCAAGGGACAGCAACAAGGCTTCAGCAACGACCTCCCCGGCATGTCCTTTGATTGCTTATTTGTAATATTAGACTTGTATACACCCAACCATGTTAATTAATAGGACACGCAAATGCCCTAGCTCTGAATTTATTGAGCATTTTGCCATCAGGGTGGGGTTGCTTGGTTGGAGGCAAGCTGTGATGCTGGTGGGAGCTGAACACTGCTGTCCATCAGGCAGCAAAACCCCTCCAGGCTCCTCCTGGCTTAAGTAGAAAAGTAGGGGGAAAAGCAAAGGGGAACATGCGCCTTTTAAAATGTAGAAATGAAGGGAAAAGCCTGGGTGTTTGAACGCCAAGATGATTTTCTAATAAGGGCACATATCCTGTCTTGCTTACAGCCTGATACTCCCCACCCTGGCAGAGACAGGAAGGTGGCAGCGCTGGCAGGGCATTGGGAGGACGTTGTCAAAAGTATTTCAAAGGCTGTTGTGACTTGGCCAGGACACTTTGAAGCCTCTTTTTGCCCTGCCATGAGCTCTCACAGCCCTGGGTTTGGCTTTGGTGCCTCCCTGTGCATGACACTCGGGGAAAATGACAAGAGCTTGTGAGTGACTGAGAGCGACAGGCAACATATCCTGCAGCCCCAGCGGCTGTGGTAACTCTGCCCATCATCCCTTTTACTGGGCTGACCCAGGGAAGGGAGGGGAACCGTTTACAAGCGCTTCCCCGGACAGCAAGGTGTATGGAGCCTGACCAGAACCACATCGGAACCACAATGCCTGGACAAACAGCCATTTGCCATCCCACAAGCTGGGACTACATCACCTTCTCCCATCTGGCAGTCCCACTGGGGCTGCTGCTCTTATGACTCAATTTGCCCTTATCAGCTGATAACAAGTGCTAACGAGCCTGGGATTTTCAATCTCCCATTCATCAGCCCCCAGGTGCGAGCTCACTAGTTATTATTCATCCGAGAACAAGAAGCTGGCGGATATGCCTTATCAGCCCTCAAAAAGTGTTCGCGCAGCACCTGATGCAAAGCAGAGAGCTGTAAAGAGAAGAAAATCACAATACTCATTTGTCTTTACAATCACTAAAGTTTCTTTCTAACTGCTTGGTTTCAGGAGGGGCAACAGAGGCCGATAAGGCAGCATAAGACACTAGGAGTCCTGATGGCAGGTCCTTGTAGCCTTCAGGGTCTGTCTCTGGGACAGTCCTTTGTTCCTGGGATGTTTTCTACAGACCTTCTGGTCCCTATGTGCCATCACTAGGGTGGTCCAAGCCCTTCAGGAATAGGTGATCCGAAGCCAAGACCTCACCAGGATATTGTGGGCTCCCAGGAAAGATGTTACCAGGGCTTTGAGTGCCTGTGGAAGGGCACAATGGGCAGGCCAAGCCAAGCATCTCCTGCAGACACCAGACTTCTGCTGGAGCACTGAAGTCCAAGTGTGATGGATCTACACTGAAAAGCAGCAATTTGCCACCATCAGAAAGGTAGAGAAGGGACACACGGCAGGGCACAAGAAAGTGCAAAGCAATCAGCAGTCACTCCTCTCTGCAGGATGTCAGTGCCACGAGGTTCGTTTATGCATTGTTTCTGCAAAAGGATGGAAAGGAAAAGAAAGTGCTCTCAGGTGTGCTGTGGCATTAAGACCCCTTCACCAGGATCCTGGGACCAAAAGTGAGAGCACTGCAGTATGAGGTGAATTCTGGCATCCATCAGAAGTCCTCTGAAGAGAGCTGCTTTTCAAAGGCAGTGACCTCCTCTAGCAGGAAGGAGTGGAAGGTTGCAGACAGACAAAGCAGGAGGCTGAGGAAAATAATTGTACCAGGAGCACTAGCTACCATGCTGCCCTGTAGTTGAAGCCAAGCACAGAAACGACCTGCCCGTCTTTGAATGTGTATTTTGCATGGGATACAATAGCTGTGCTCTTACTTGTGCATATATGATTGCTCGTTTTGCACACACACGATTTCCATACAAAGGGTTTGTCTGCCAGAAAACAGTATCAATGCACATCACCAAAATAAATAAATAAATAAATAAATAAATAAATAAATAAATAAATAAATAAAAGTCTGAAATTTTGCATCAATTTGCATTATTACATTTTTTCAGTCCTAAGTGGAACTGGAGAGCTGGCTTTCCCCCCAGTGTTACTGTGAGTAGTGAAAGGTGACAACAAAGCACCAAAGCAAAGCAACTTAAAGTCATCCAAACTAACACCTCCAGCATTTCTGTTACTAATACAAAATACAAAGGTGAAAATGTAAGTTTATGATGAGTGTGATCAATGGAATATGGAAAGTTTAGGGGAAAAAGCTTTTTTTTTTTAGTTAACTAAATTGAAGCTAGAGCATTCCTTCTCTATGTTTTAAGGTCAGCATCAACTAAATGGGCAGATAAAGAGAATAAAACTGACAGAATATCTATGACACAACAGAAATTGTCTGTGAATGCCTTGCACATTTCTTTGTTGCTTTATCACTTAAAAATAAAATGAAAAGTAGAACCTTGATAATGATAAATCAACATCGAAGTAATGGTTATCCTTGCCTCAATGCTCTTTTAAAGCACAACCACATACAGGCAGCATTATTATGATATGCAAATGTAGAGATCAACATGTGTTTGTATGGTTTGATAAATATATTTTTTCTGTCAAATGAAATGAGCCATAAGTCACCTGGCAATCCCAAGGCTGGAGCCCTAGAAACACATTTATTCCATCACAACCCTCAGGATGGTCACAGCCTGTTCTCAAAAGGCAAAAACCGCACGCCAGCATCCTGGTCTTCAACACAACATTTGCCCCTTCCTTGCTGCAGGGGAGAAGTGTGGGCATCCGTGAGGGTACGGGCTGGGAGACTGCCTTGTACTTTCTTCTGCACCAGTCATTAGATGCAAAAGGCCTGCATGCAGTGGTGCTTGCTTGCACCTAGCTGCGATATTTCCCCAAGAGTGAAAAAGGCGCTCAGAACTGCATTTGGTGCTTGGTGGCAGGGCATGGTGCCATAGGGCACAGGGAGGCACGGGGAGCCAGGCTGGCTGCCCCCTTCCCATGGCTCCAGATAGCTCAGGAGCACTGGAATACCCTCGCATGCAGGGAGGTGGGAAAAGCTGCTCCTTTTGTACCTGACACCGTGGAAATCACAAGCAAACGAGTAAGTAAAACCCCTCTGCAACCTACTGCTGCAACCACTAAAACTCCACTGTGACTGAGCACACCCTTCCCCTCCTCGCCCTGCCCACATTGCTCTGAGGAAGATTTCTTCCATTGCAGAAAAGATCTGTATTTTATGAGAAAAATAATACAATTGTTTTCAGCAGAAACTGCAATTCTAATAACAACACAATAACCGCACACAGCTGCTTTCCTTCTGCTCTGATCCAAAGGGGCAGAATATCTGGAGGTCCAAGCATCCTCACTCTCCTCATATCAGTAACGGAGCTGAGCCCCATGGCACTCATCCAGAGATCACCTACACATGCTCCAAGTTGTGGTCTGCACCAAGTGAAAGTATTATTTTGGCAACAAATACGTGCATATTTTTATGCCCGTGCACCAAGAAGCCTGGAAATTTTATTCCTTGCAATATGCTTTAAAATTGCTGCTCCTGTTTGTGGGTGCAGAGCTACAGGAGAGCTCCTGGGTTAAACCTGGTGCATCTTTTGCCCTACCTGGCAGCCCAAGAATGGTGAAATACGGCCGGCACTCTGTAAAGCCTGAGCTCTGCCGCACGCAGCTCCTCCACAGTCCCTGATACTGGAAGACGGCTGTGACCGGGTTGTCATACAAGTCCTGCGTGCTCCACATATCCATGGCAGTGGACACCATGCACCCCGCAACCCCCAGCGACGAGACGATGAACCCCATCACCTGGCAGACGGTGGTGGACATGGTGTCTCCCCCAGCAAGAGGAGGTGAGACAGCCCCGGGAAGCCACAGACCTAATGGGAGCACCGAAGTCCTCCCGACTGAGCCACCAGAAACGCAGCAACCCTTATCAGATGCTTTCCATTGAGCGGTGTGTTTGCACAAAGTGTTTTTGCAAGATAGTCCGGTTTCACTCTCGCTGGGTCGGTTTGTGCTGGCAGGGCCCGAGATATGAGCTTTTGTCCTTTAGAAGTGCTTGTCCTTCCCGGGCTAAGCGGCCACGCTCGGTCAAGTGTTGGGCAACTCACTCAGAGCTCGCACCAGCCCCCGCTGAAACCCTTCTCCGTCCATCAGGCTCCTGCTGCGTGCTTGGCACAGCGTAAGCATGCTGAGAGGGGCAGGGGGAAAGAGCATGTTCCCAGGAGAGCTCAGCATCCACAGCTCACCGCCTCCTTGGCTCTCTGCTTATGCAACGTGGGAGTAAATCTGCCAGTGGGCCAAGATAGGGACACCTCCATGCCCTGATGTCCCTGTGGGCTGTAAAAGAGGTGTGGAGGTGGACAAGGGACACCAGTGGTGAGCTTGGTGGGTGGCATGGGGCCTCCACCACAGACAGGGGCATCACCGCTCCTTGCAGCCTCCTGGGGCATCACCGAGGTCACCTCAAATGCTCATGAGCCCCAAAATTACCCAGAAATGCTCCCCAAGCCCTGTTCTCCTCCAACCCACATCCCTATCACCCATCACGTGGCCTCACCAAAACCCATGTGGGGGGCAGGGACCATTTGGAAAGTGCCTTTTTGCAGGTGCTTGTCTGCATTAGGTAGGGCAGTGGTCCTGGAAAATGGGGCAGGGGATATCAAAATTAGGAAATGAATTATCTCTTGGCACAGCGGAGTAGTGCTAGGCTCAGGGGAGTAATACAAATCCACCATGATGCCCTGCTGATGGAGCACAGTGAGATACAAGGACCTTCCAGACTTCACACTCATCCCTTCTGATCCAAGACCCTGCTCCAAGAGATTTAGTTCAGCCCTGACCTAGAAACAAATTCTTGCTTTATCCAGCCCAGCTCCATGCCACCATCCCTCTCCATATGAATGCCTGGTCAAGACAATGTGAAAGCTACAAGGAAAGGAGGAGAAGCTGATTTCTGCGGATGGATGATTTACAGTGGGGTTGTTACACATTGGCTATTCCTTCTGGAGAACCCATGGCACCCCTTTTGCTTTTGGGACTGTGCAGAGGGCTGGTGGGCATCAGGCAGAAATGCTTTTGCACTGCAGTCTGGTAGGTCCTGTTATTGCAGCCAAAGCCAATTCACATCTTGTGTACAGATCACAGCCATCAAAGCCCTCCAGGGCCAGGCACAAGATGTCTTTGCTTCCAACAGCTTTATTCAGATTTAGTCATTTCCACTGGCAAGTTTACATCAGGGGAAGGGCCAGCTCCAACATATCTAAAGGTCAGAAGTAGCCAGCAAAAGTAATAATGTGACCAAAACCCATGGAAGTGAGCCCTCGAGAACAAGAGATGATAGGAGCTGCTCATCCTCAGTGAGGAAGAGGGCGCACTCACAAACATCAAACATACCTCATCTGGGGTAATTCATTGTGAAAAGTCAGGGCTGAGGAGGACCTGGAAGCTGGGAGGACAACAAGGGCTAGAATAAGCAATGTAGCCAGCTCCCCATCCCGACCTTTATGGCCCCACAGCCTGTGGCAGATGGGGTCAGGGGAAGGAGATGCCGAAATGTCCCCATTCCTTAGCATCACTCCAGAAGGGCTGGTTGTGTCCAAGCCTGATGCTGCCCAGCAGGTCCAAAGGACTCCTCTCCTTCTTGCCACCAAGTGCCAAGAGGCCACATCTCTCTTTTTCCAGGCTAGACCACTTCTAGCCATATCCCAGGGACTGGTGTCCCTCCGGGACATCACTCCTACTCCCAAGGCTGGTGTCACCCCGCAGGGTTTGCGTGCAATGGCTTGCAGAGGTGAACACACACACAAATGGACCCCAGGGCTGGTCACAGCTAAAAATAACCCCTTGGGGAAAATGTATGTAGGGATAGTGGAGGGAAATGCAAAGGACACACACTTTCTTCCCATTTTTTTCCCAAGAAGAACCTCCATCCAGCTTGCTGGTGGCAGTGGCCCTACTGCACACTGGGTCCCTGTGTTTGCTTTGCTGGGAGGGGAGCACCCACTCCTTCCTCTGACCCCTTCTGCTGGTTTCGGCTGCCTGCAGCTGGAGCTGCTCTTCCAGCCAGCAAGGCTTGGGCAATGAGGGTCATTCTGAGTCCTGAGCTGAGCAACAAATGAACCCTCATCCATGCTCAGCACCCCAGACACTGCCGTATTTGAAGGATTTTTAACTTTTGGAGAGGTTTTTATTTGCTCATCGCTGGGCATATTGCTTCAGGTGCTATCCAGCCATCCCAGCATTACCTGCTTGCCTTTTCTCATGCTCTGATCCGCATCATGTTTGTAGACACAGGACTCGAAGTCCCCACAAGTACCTTCCTTGGTGGCTATTTGTAGCAAAGTTATGGAGAAAAAACACAAACCTGTTTCCATCCCAATCCTTCCTCCAGCCTATTTTCTCTGCCTTTCTGAAATGTTCTTATTTTAAACCCAAATGCAGTGTGCTTGTTGTTAATGGTTGCTTCTGAGCCACACACGATAGGGAAAAAATACATTTCCCTTTGCAAAAAAAGAACTCTTCACACCATTTTCCCAGCACCCAGTTCAATAATAGATGATGACCTGGAGGTTTTATCTGAACTTCTGGCTCAGTGCACAACCTGAAAAATCATTGGGTGATGGGCAGCTGTAGAGCATGTCTCAGCATCTTTACCACCACCTGATACCCACCTCCAGTCACTCCTGGTGGTTGTCTATGGCCCAGGGTGGCTGGAAGGTAGGGGACCTCTCCCCAGGTATGGACCTGTCATTCAGTCCCCACCAAGGAGGTGGAATTTTGGGGCCAGAGGGCTCGCCCTGCTGCATGGTGATGCTGAGCCAAATCAGAGGAAGGGGCACGATGTGGCACATCTCTCGCGAAGACCAAGCTGCCCCACCAAGAAGCAGAGAATGGGGCTGCTCCCCACTCCTAGGCATACCAAACGAGGAAAAGGAAAGGTACTTTGTGACCACTCCCCTCTGCAACCTTTATTTCAGCTCATTCTTGCTTTATCTACCCAGGCGTCAGCTCTGTATTATCTCAAAACTGTTCACTGGTCCCATTGCAACTCCTGAATGTTATCACTGCCTCTCCCATAAAAATCACCTACAGCTCATGTTGACTTTAAAATTTGCAAATATAACTCACACCCTGGCAGTCAGTTCCAGCTTGTTCAGGCCGAAATAAAGCAAACCCACCCTTTTCTTTCTGTCCCGCCATTGCTATGATGACTTCAACCTCCCTAAATATGTGGCCCACAGGTCCATAGCATGGGAAGAGCTGCCCAGCCTTTCTGAACCTTGGCGTGGAAAGGGGTAGTGGCAGCACCCCATCACATCTCAGGCATCCTCTACCCCACTGGTCTTCAGGTGGTCAAGGCAGGTTTTGGAGGTCCCTCAGCAGAGCTGATATGAATGGAGATGCATCCTTCCCCACAAGCCTCTGAGCTGTAGCTCAGACCGACACAGCAATTAACAGTCCCCATCCTTATGAGCATCCGGCAGAAATGCTGTTTCCTTGGCTAGTGGGCTGCCCAATCTCAAAACACAAAACAAAACAAAACAAAAACACCCAGAAACCCAGAGCAAGGTTTTTCCTAGGACTATGCCAAAAAATGTGAGTTGGTTGTACATAAAAAAATAGAAATAAAATAATAATAATAATAATAATAATAATAATAATAATAATAATAATAATAATAATAATAACTTATTAGAATTTCATTAATAGACTGGAAAAAAAAATCCAAAGCAACAAAAGACCCTTCATAGCCTAGAGTTCATGACAATTCCAAGCAAACTCCTAGAGGACGCATAAGCTTGCATGGCCACTGAAAGTTACCAGCTACAGAAGTTTAATGGGATGCTTTCAGACTCAAAGTTTGCTGTTGGAAAATCTGAAATATTCTTATTTTTTAAGTCACCAGCCTTTTGTTACAGAGCTGAGAGATATCTCTGCTGCCTTTCTGGGAGGGTCAAAAGTGATTTTGTCTCAAGAACAAAATGCCCTTTCAGAAATGGCTGAACAGCTGTAGCTGAAGATGACTGAAAAAAAAAGACACCAAAATAGAAAAGAGGAAGATTACTGCTGACGTTATCGTAGGTTAACAAACTTGCAAGCAACTGAAGAACTCTCATTTTTGCGGAAAGTGTGACTTCTGAAATAGGTGAAATGGTCACCTTCATCAGTGCTCATCTACCTCTGTTTCTCTATTATTTGTATGTTCAAATTCAGATCGTGTCCTCCAGTCACAGTAAGGTCTGCCCACACACCAAAACAAGCAGCAAAAATAATAAGAGAAAGCAAAATCAGAACAAACAGGCTTAGATCTCAAGTGACACATTTCACCAGAGACTGACTGTTTATAGCTGAGCAGTGAGGGGGAGAGACATAAAGTACCTGTTATTTCTCATTTTCATCTATTATCTTGATTTTTCCTCAATCTATTTGAAATTAAAATTCCCAACTAAATTGAAGATAGATGATGGGCAAGGCAAGTTTAATCTTTGCTATGGGAGCAAGGGATTGAAAAAAAAAATCCTCAGAAACCCAAACTTTGCTGATGTACTCAGGTCACCTCGCTGCTTTGCTGGAGTCCTATTATTTTTATTCACTCCGGCACTATTGTTCCCAATATAAATTGCCATTGTCAGAATAATAAATAGGGGTTTATAATGGAAATGCTGACAAACCATTAACTATGGTGCGGTTTGCAAGGGGGGTTTAATGGAGATCAAGGTGCAGCACGGTTAGAATAAATGTTGCGACAATCTGCTTAAATAATTTCTTTGCAAATTAATAATTTCATTTTTAGCATCACTTTGTGCCCCCCTCTGGCTGGGATGCAGCTGCCCTGCAGCGGCAGTGGGTGGGATGAGATGCCTGTAGGAGCAGATGAATACAAGAA